GTGTGTGTGTGTGTGTGTGTGTGTGTGTGTGTGTGTGTGTGTGTGTGTGTGTGTGTGTGTGTGCTCACAGGACCCACCCCTTCCTACCTCAACCTTCTTCTTTCCTTAGTGTAACCCCTGCTTCTCCATCTACAGGGCACTGTTGGCCCTGCCTCGGATATACCGGACAGCAGTCGCAGTCACCAGCACTAGGCCAGGGCAACCCCACCCAGCCCAACTGAAGCACCGTCGAACGAGCCTTGTCCTGCCGGCACTTTGGTCGCCAAGCATGATCGACTTATACACTTTCCTATGAGCACCAGCCCGGGTTGGTCAGACAGGAGCCACTCTGTCTGTGATATCTGTGTAGTGCATATGGTCTATGGGTGATGACAGACATCCGTTGAAGTCACTCCCTGGCTCAGCGGGTGGTGGGAACCAACAGTCTGTGGATTTCACCCGTGATGTGAGTAGGTGATGTGCCGCTTTGTTCCATGTTGGATTTGTAGACTGCCTTGTCTGCACTCCACCGCTGCCTTGCTGCCTGTACCGCTTGCGTCGCATGTCGTTTCTTGGGAAGCTGCTGTGTTCAATGCGCGGTGTGGCTGTGGTCATAGTGCTACATTGCGCTTTGCTGCTCTGCTGCCTGGCTGCCCATTCTGCGTCCTTTCCTCGCGTGCTTGTAGTTTGACTCTGCCGTGTGGTTGTCGTGCTGCTCGTCCACTTGCCCTATTGTTCCTTGAAGTTGTTTTTGGCGTTGTACAGTCGTGTTGCCTCGGTAGCATTGCGTGGTGCTTCACTGAGTTGCTGCCCGCTGCTGTGTTCCACATCGGGACAATCTGCCTTCAACATGGGTCAAAGGGTTCATCAACCAAACCATCAATACATAGGCAGATTGTCGAGGGTTCAGCCTCTTGATGAGTCGGTACAACTCCAAAGAAACAATCTTTCATCATCAGCTTTTGTTTTTTTTTCAGTCTTTGTTTCTTGCCTTGTGCTGATTGTCTGCCCATCCTTCGCCCCTTTACCCTTCAGCCTATGTCCCTTGATGTCATTTCTTGTCCGATGTCTTGTTGCAGCATGCTCTTTGCTTCACTGTCGTTAGTCTGCTGCTCAGTCTAGTACTTTTTCCTTTTGGTCTCTGTTTCGTGCCTTGTGCCGTTTGTCTGCCCACCCACCTCCCGTCTACCGTCCAGCCTGTGTCCCTCCCTGTTGCTTGTCGTCAGATGTCGTTTGTCTGCCGTTCGGTTTGATACTCGTATTTTTTTTCTATCGTTTGTATGTCAAGTGGACCTGCATATTACTTTTAAGGATTGTTCGTTCACTCACTCAGATGCATGCTTCCTTCTGGAGTAATGGTCGCCATGCTTTCTTTGTGGAGTTGTGTATAGCCAAAATGACACACACACACAGACACACAGCCATGCTTTCTTTGCTGGAGTCGTGTATAGCAAACATGACAAGACACACACAGACAGAGTCTGGCATGCACAGCCATGCTTTTTTTGTGGAGTTGTGCATAGCGAACATGACAACACACACGCACACAAGTAGACATGTAAGTGCACACACACAGAGACATACATAAGCTCTGCCTTTCACATCCTTTCATCTGTTTCAGCCCCTCCATTTCCAGATACGCATCCACAACGACACCCACTAGGATTGAGGAAACAGCGACTCGTGGGAACATTCCAATTCAGCTGCTCTCTTCTTTGCTGTACAAATCTCTCAACCTACAGAAGCTGGGACATCCAACCTTCAGACAGATATCGGAAGCCCGCAACACCTGTGCCTCAATTCTTGCAAATCACACAACCAACGGCCTTTCTCGGGTTTACAGGCCCCTTCTAACCTTGGCCTGCTAAGTAACTGCATTTGCAGTTTTGTACCACTACGAAAGAAGGAACGTGGAGCTCTGCCGCTGGAAAACACCACAAAATGAGGAAGTGAATAGTAGCGAGAAAGGCAAGAGTAATCTTAACTCCTTGACGAAATGGGATCCCTCTTGAACCATGACAAGCAGACAAGGCTGGACGCCATAGTTCCATATCCAATACAACCACACCTCCACTTCTACTCCCCCACGTCTACAGAAGCTCCCCAGACCAGTAAGGGCATACTCGGCAGAAAGAAGAGAATAAACAGAACCATGATAACTATATCTAATAATGATGAATTCATTATTTAATCATGCCATGATGCCATGGTGTTACCCTAGTCGAAAAGAATCCAGCGCTCCCCTCATCTGTTCACTAACAGCCATCCAGTTCTCCTGAGGAGTTGTCCCTCCAAGCACATACACCTGCCCTCTGTTGACGGCAGCCCTCAGTGCCACATGCTGCCTGCGATGGAGGAACTCATACTGGTAGTAATTCCGTTGAGGCTTGTCGTCTGCTGGTTGCTCACCATTGCTGCGGTCAACGGAGGAGGCTGAAGAGGTAGAGGAAGATAAAGAGAGCAGCTTGGCACCAGGCGGAACAAACAGATCTGCAACACCAGCAACGGTCCCCAGATCTCCTATGTCATTCGCTTGAAAAAATGTGAGTCGCATACCAGCTACCTGGCGTTTTACCAAACTGATCGTTGCAGGCATCAGCGTTGAGCTGAAGCGGAGAAGCAGCGTGGCACCTCCCCCCCCATTGGAACTGCCTCCACCACCTGTCAGGGTGCTGCGTGGCAAAGTGGGTGCTTCCTCTTCCTGTAGAACATCTTCAAAACCTGGAGGCAGAGAGACTGAGTACTCCTTGCTTCTGATAACCAACCACCTACCTCCTCTTTCAGTGGGCCCACTGCCACTGCTACTGGCAACGTCCCTTTCAGTGGAAACAGATTCTTCTGTGTTTAATGCTGATGGAGGTTGCTTCACCAAAGACAATGCGCTTTTGTCATCAGCATCGCAGCAACTAGGAAATGATGAAACAACCCCCGCAACTAATGCACCAGAGAGCAAAATGCTTCTTCGCTGAACACGGACTAAATCCTGGGCCTCAGCTGCCACATCCCCACCTGCCATCACTGTTACAAGCCCATCTTTCGCCACCGCCTTAAGCTCTCTTTCCCCACAACAAGGTCTCCTGTACCGTCCCTCAGGCATCCTCTCCATTGCTGCAGAGGGCCTAAGGGTGCATGACCGGTTATTCCCACAGAGTTGAGTATTGAGAGCTGCAAAGCAGCTTTCTTCACTCTTCTCTCTCAGAGAGCAGCTTATTCCTCTGTGACTGGCAGGGATTGCCCCTCCCATGGGGGGGTGTCTTTCATGACCCATCAACTGATCTGAGCCGTGTCCTCCAGTGGATATCAGAGCTTTGAATGCAAAGGACTCTGCATCAGCACAGCATTCCTTGCCAGGCAACTTGCAGCTATAGCTGCCTCCCCAACTCCGCCGACCATTCCCTACAGGGTAGCGGAGAAACCAGGAGCAGAGATCTGCTGAGCCCTGCGCATGAGGTGGTCGTAGAGCATAGTGGGTCCTGCATAAAGTGCCGCGGATGCTCTCCTGCAGATCGAGGGTTGGGCAAGTGGCTGCCTGGCAGGCAATGCCACAAGCCAGACCTTGCAACATGTTTCGCTCTCCCCTCTACCTCAGAGCCAACGAGTACCTAGCTTGCCGTATGAAGCAAAACTTTGTGAGGAAAAACACAAACAGATGATAAACCACTCACTCACTTACCAATTCACCTCGTTATGTGCCATTCATTTTCATTGAGCCGGCCTTGCTTGACGCCACAACCCTTTTCTGCCACCACAGAAAGATACATGAGCTTAGCATCGTGGCTCTGTTGCATTCTGGCGATCATCAATCCCACTGACAAGTAGTAACAACTCAGAAGATACATTCATTTAATTTGGTTACTAATTTATACAATAATAAATAATACTTTCAAGAAGCCGCTATCTGGGGACCGAAAGGATGCCCCAGACCTTTCCAAAAAACAGAAGAAAAAAAAAAAGGACGCTACAGAGCTTTCCTTCGCCAGCATTGATACAATATCTTAAAATATTAAAATAATTTATACTAATTTTATAGGCTATCATCCTGGGAAAGGGAAGAACAAAAACAGTACTGTTATCTTCACTCATCCATCCCCATGTTTCGCTTTTACCTGCTGAGGGCTGGATGCACCAAACTGTTTCCTTTTTGTGTTGTTTTGATTTGGACCATTTCTCGATTTATGCGTGGCATCCTTGTGCAGGGGTCATGCTAATCTTCTCTGTATTGTTCCAATTGTAATGGATATCCCCAAAGGAAAATGCCCAACTGTTTCTTTTTTTAACAGAAAAAACATGTAGTCCTTACTCAGGAAAAGGGCCGGCCACCCCACATAAAGACCGGATCTGAGAGCTTTACCCAGTGTTATGCTTTTAACGGGACCTCCTGGGACCCGAACACGAGAACCTTCCCTTGAGTAAACCCTGCACCTCATCCCCCTGACCTTAAACCCTGAACCCTAATTACTCCTATCTTGTCCTCCTGCCTCCTACTATGATTTGCTGCCCTAAATTTGCTTACGAGGTAATGTACGCCCTTCCTCCTTTCTATGCTACCTTGTCCAGCTTTCCTATTATCCTCTCCTTTTTACCTTCTCTCTATCCTCCCTCACCTCTCTTAATCTAGGATTACCTCCTGTTGCTCTCATGTTCCTTTTTATCCTTCTTCTTAAATAAACCCCCTTACCCCGCCTCCTAAAACCCTAATCCTACTGACCTTCCTTTATTTTGAGCTTATTCTTTAATCCTTGGTCCCCCAATCTCCTCTTCCTCCTACGTATCCTCCCCTCCACTCCCTCTTCTTTCTTCCTGCCCGCATCTGTTTAAGCATGGGCCGCTAGCCCTGTCCTCTTACCCTGTTTGTTTTTGTTCCCTCCTCTTAGTGTCCAGCTTCATGGTGTGGAGATGGGTGGGCTCCTTAACCCCACCTTGTGGGCTTCCCTTGCCCGTTGCTCCCCCTCCTTTCCCCACTGCAATATGATCCTTGCCCCTTCTATCGTCGCCACCTTCCCCTTACGCAGTTTGTTCGAACCTCTTTAGGATCTCTTGAGAGGTCCCAAGCGTTTTGTTGCATGCGCTGCCGCCTTGTTTTCTTCCATTGTGCTCTGATGTCGGTCTCTAATAGGTCGAGGAGGATGCTTCTTGCTTCTTTTCTGTGCATTGGCCTCTTCTCTATTGTACACTGACATCTTCTCTTCCAAATGGTCCATAAGGCATACTGCCTTATCAGATTACATATCTTCTTTTCTCCTCCTCCCCGGGTCCCTGCTGGGCCTGTCCCGATCAGCACATTGATTGTGTCTTCCGGAAACTGCTGTCTAGACACCTTCCCCCCAAGGCCTTGGCCATTTCCCACACTGCCTGCGCTTCTTAACATGGTAGTAGGCAGTGTGACACTGTTTCTGTTGCTCCTTCCCTGCAAACTGCACATTTCTTGTTTTGCTCATCCCTGTGAAGCTGGCTCCTACGGACGTTGAGCCATGTGTTTATTGGCAACGCCAGATGCATAATCAGCCATTGTAGACTTCTGATCTTCCCTAACCTGATCTGAGACAGGCTGGACCACGACATTGTTGGGATTCTGGCCAACTCCCTTCCTGTTTTGTCAGCCCAGTGCTTAGACAACAAACACTTTCTGCAGCTGTCTGGGGCACCTTCTAAGGTTGTATTCCCGCCGTGTCGTGTTTGTATCCCAGCCGTGTCGTGTATTCTAGGACATTTATTCTTCTAGCAATTTTCATTACCCCGCTCCTCATGTTCCATCCCCATTCTACTGGATCGAGCTCTAAATTTTCTATCGGGGTTGTGGGCTCAAAAAGGGTGAATTCCTCCGTCCCTCCCCACTACTCTTTACTTTCCTGACCTCTTCCGCGTTGATAGCGCCTGGAGTTCTGGAGTCCTTGTCTAACTTGCTGATGAACGCCCCCGGATGTGTACCGCCGTGTACATGCCCGTAAACCAGTCTCCCCTCGGGGCATCCTTTTCGTAAACTCGGAATGCTACCTTGGGTTTTTCCTCCTGCCGCCAGGTGGCCCAATCCCCACTCTCCGATTGGACCCCCTTTTCCAACAGCGTTCTCCATTCTTGTGGAATTGAAACCAGCACATCATTGACATTTCCAGCAGTCTATGGCTCTGCTTCATTTCTGCTCTCAATTCCCTTGCTGTTTTCCACCTCTTCCTGTCTTCTGCCCATAGGTGTTTCACTTGCCAGACTCCGTGCTCGACCCATCTTCCCCATTTGAGATCCCGAACAGGGAGCGTTCTGGGTTTACCCTGGTCGTCCTTTATCCACGGATTGCAGAATAGCGGTTGCCTTAGGACTTCTTCTCTTGAATGGGGCTCCCTGACTTGGCTGGGAAAATTTGTTGCCACAGTTTAATGAGCTGTCGTGAGTACTTGTTATCCTGGCCATCCCTTCGCCCGCCATCCTCCTCGTTGTTTTCTCTTACCGTTTTGGACCAACCCTTACATGTTAGCCAGAAGACTCCCACCATGTTGGCTGGTGTCCTAAATCTAGCCTGCCTCCTGATCTGTTCTAGCGCAAACGGTGCCCACAGCCTGGTCGGGTTGGTCCTCAGCTTGACTACCCACTTGGTTTGCAGGGCCTTCAGCTGCTGCTCCGGATCAATTATGCCCAGTCCTCCTTTCTCCTTTTTCCTGGTGACATGGTTCCATGCCACTTTAGATATGTAGTGGAGTCTGGACGGATTGGTTGTCCAGAGATACGCCGCCACCCTTCTTCGTAGTTCCGTGGCTGCTTGAGCCGGTGGGATCCATCCCGTGCCGGCATACCATAGCATGGAGAAGATCGAGGCATTGATTATCAACACTCTCCCAAACAGTGATGTGTAGGCTGATAACCATGTGCCCAGCTTTACTAAAATCTTTCCCAATATCTCCGGGGCCAACGAGTCATGTGGACCCGCCTCCGTAATCTTGACTCCGAGGTACCTTAAAGGTTCCTTGGCTTTCACCACTGTAAACCCACCAGATTAATATCTGGGTTGGGTCCATCTTCTTGTGCATCGGACAGCCACCATCCTACCGTTTTTGGCCAGTTGATCCTCATCTCTGAGGCTAGCTGGAATGCATGAATTGCCCTTGCCAGGGCCTCGAATGAAGAGTCCGATGCCCCGCATCAGAACTGTCAAGTCGTCTGCGAACAAGATTGTTGGCGGAATGGCCATTGTCTTCCCTTGGTGGTCTGGCTCCCCCAGCAACCGCTGGATTGATGGGTCCTTTCTGAGAAAGGAGGCCACCCCTTCCATTATGGAAAGAAAGATCGGTGCCGCCGCGGGGTCTCTTTAGCGCACTGACCTTGACATTCTATACTTGCCTGACAAATATCCATTGATCTGCACCTGTCCGTGAGCGTCGTTGTACAGCACCCTTATCCACTTTCTGAGGTTGGGTCCCACTCCCATCTTCTCCATGCAGCGTTGAAGGACTATCCAGTTCACCTGACCATAAGCCTTCTCGAAGTCAAAAGAATGATATTGCTGCGTTGATCCTCTTGTCCTTGATGTAGAGATTCTGTTAATGTCATAACGTTGTCTGATATAAATCTCTTGGGGATAAAGCCTGTTTGATCTAGGTGGAAGCAGCCTTGGGTGACCTTCGCTACTATCTTGTGTGTCAGTGTTAAGAGTGTTATAGGCCTGTCATTTCTTATGTCTGCAGGATTTCGCTTGTTGTATAGCAATGTTACCACCCCTGTCGACGGATCTTCCCCCATTCCTTCTTTTGCCCATGCTGAGTTGAGAAAGGCTCCGTATTCCCCCCCAAGATAGGCCAACATTCCTTCCAAAATTCCTTCGTTAATCCATCCCTTCCTGGCATCTTGTTAGGGGCCATGGATTTCAACGCTTCCCATAGTTCCTCCTGCGTGAGGGGGGCTTCTAGCATTTGTTGTTGTTGCATCGATATCGCTTTCTCCAAATGAGTAAGGAACTTGCCTCTTGCTCCCTCTGTCTGCTCCTGCTCCTTGGTGTAGTCCTCTCTCGAGGTGTAGAGGTTGCTGTCGAAGTCTTGGGCTATCCGGACCATACCTTCAGGCATTGCTTCCGGTCCCTCTGGACCGTCTAACTGTTCAATTGCTGCGTTACGCCCATTGGCCTTGATCTTGTGGAAGAAGAACTTTGACATTCTCTCTCCCTCCTCCCAATCGCTGATCCTTGCTCTCATTTGGAGGCCCCTATTCCTCCACCTTTCCCAATCTGCTAGCTCTACCTTGGCTGCTTTGAATGCCCTCTCGTATAGTTATGAGCCTGGGTTCCGATCAGCCAACCTAAGTGCTTGCTGTAACTCGAATTCCCTTGCCCTCCTCTTGGCTGCCAGTTGTCTAGCCCTTCCTGATGCTTGGGAAAGGGATGACAACAGTTTTGCGAAGGACTGGGTCTCAGAGTTATGCGCTAGACAAGCGTGGAGGATCTCTTGCCTCATCTCTTGCATCCTCAAAATAGAGTGGTTGACTTAAAAAATGTGTTTTCCCCTGCCAATTCTCTTATCGATAATTAAATATTAAAAAATGGGGTTGTTGTCCAAGCCACTAGCATAGAGCACATCTCCTGTCCCGACTGAGTGTACCATGCCTAGCAGCCCGTTAGCCACACAAAAATCATCTATTCTTGATGCCAACACATGATGACTCCTATTCCTCTTACAGTAGGTGAACTGCTTTTCTTCCGGAAGGTGCAGTCTATATGGATCCTTTAGATCCCATTCCACCATCAGGTTATTGATCGACAGTGCTTCCTCCCTACTCTCTCTTCACTCCCCAGGATTCCTCCCAACATGCGATCCATTCATAAATACAATGCTGCGTTCCAGTCCCCTGCCAATATTGTGTATCTAGTGTTGTCTAGGCGTGCTTTCAGCTGGTTCACCATTTGGTATCTCTCTTGGTTTGTCTTCAGGAAATAGAGTGAAATAAGTGTGAATGCCTCCTCGTGCAATGTGTAGTCTATTTGTGCCCACCTCCCCTGTTCTTTATCCACTTCTACCCTTCCACCGTCATTTTGTCTGCTGCCGCCGATCTCCTATTTAACAAGATTGCGACTCTTGCTGAGTTCAATCTCGGGGCTGGTGCACAATAGATCTCCTTCACCCATCTTAATTTTTGCTCTATGCTTGTTAACAATCTCCGGTGCTCCCCTGATTCGGTCAGATGGGTTTCTTGCAAGCAGACAAAATCCGGTGGTTCCGATCCGTACCAATCTGTATATCTTGCCATGTTGTTCCATTTGTCTGGGTTGTCCAAAATTGTAGCCAGGCCGTTGATGTTCCAAGACATAATCTTGATCTCTGGTTTGTATTTGGATGGCATGTGCTGAAGCTTTCTCCTCTTTCTCCCTCCTTCCCCTCCAGCTGCCTCCATCCAGGAATGTTTATGACTCCCCGTCCTGATCGCTGCAATAATTAGATCAAGACACCTCGAAGACCAAGTCCATTCTTGTCGCAGTGCCAGCCACCCTCATCTCCAAGAAGTCTGGCTCCCACAAGAAGCTTCCGTGCTTAACCAGAATTGCTGCACTTTCTGCCACTCTCTCCGGCGCCACCTCCCCTCCAAAAAGGTCGTAGGGGATGGTTTCCACCACCTTCCAAGGCATCCAAACCAAGTCCCCCTTCAGGTCTGCCTCGCTGTGCATTTTGATGCGGATGGGTCTGAAGTCCACTTCCTGGGTGATGCCTCTTGCGTCTTCCCATACTTCTTTTTCATCATTAATATCGCGAACTACATACACTCTTGATGGTATGTGGTCGGATATCGCTTCTTTCAGCGCATCGCCAGTGAAATTAGCTTGAGGGAGCGATGGATTGCCACCTCCCAAGTGGAATAGGTGTCATTCCATTTGCAGGGCAGGACCGTTCTTTGCCTTGGTTCGTTCTTGGCGTCCAACTTGGCCGCCGCTTCAATCTCCTTTTGACGTGTTTGAGCTATCCTTCGGAGATTGATCGCTCCCTCGTCCAGCTGTGTGTTCTGATCCCTCAGTGTGTGAATCTGCGCCTGTATTTCCGCTGTCTGCCGCCTCAGGTCATCCGCCTCAGTGTGTCTTCTGCCGCTTCTTCCTGACTGCCCTGTGTACCTTCCATCGTATCCTGCTGCTGGTCCCCTGCGTTTCCCTCTTTGTTTTTTCCCTGCGTCCATTGTTTTTTGCTTTGCTTCCTTTCTTCCTTCGTTTGGTACGACTTGGGCCACTCGAACTGTTTCATATATGCAGACTCGCAGACTCAGATTTCATTCTTGTTGCGCTGAGCTTTCCATATGCTCTGTGCAAAATTCATTGAGTTCCTGCTCACGTTGTAATATCGCGAATTTATTTCCCGTCGTGACTGGTTCTGCTTCTGACGTGGCCTGATGCAAATTTCGGAGATGCTTGTGATGTGCCAATCTCACCTCGCATTCCACCCTGCGCTCTCCTGCCAACAGCTGGACACACCTTACCCACCAGTCTAGCGCGTCTTGGTCTTCATCTTCCTCATCCGCCCATTCTCCGTCGTCATCCTCCTCTTCCTCTTCGCTCTCCTCCTCCTTCTCCCCTTCTTCTCCCATTGCTTGGGAGTCCCTCTCGTCGTTGTAGCCTGACTGTTTGCTAGGATCCCGACTCTGCATTTCCATGTCTGTGGATTTAGTCCCATCCTTATCCTTTTCCTCGGGTTGGCTTGTTCTCCCTGAGTCCCTGGGATTCCTCCTGCTGATGTGTCCATTATGTCTCCAGTTTGGCTGCTTGATTCCTGGTGGGACTGGACCTCCCCCCCCCTTACATGCCCGATCCTTCTGACTGGGCCCCTTTGGCTCGTTGTTCCTCCTCTTCCGGATCCTCTTCCTGGGCCTTCCTTTTCAAGGAGGTGGCTAGGATTGAGTTATCCCCCTCCTTTCCCTCACAGTCCATGTCCGTCTGCTTATCTGTCTCATCTTTTTGTCTTTTTGCTTCCTCCCTTGCTTCTTTGTTCGCCATGAAGGCCGATTCTGCTGCCAAACCTACCTTGTGCAGTTCCTCCATTATCTGCAGCCTTTGTCTGTCGTCTTGCAGCATGCTTCCGTCCACCATTGGCTTGACCAGGAATCTTGTGCCCTTGTCTTCCATCCTTTTCGCCCCCTTTTGCATCCATCTACCATCGTAGGGCGGATAGATGTCCGGCTTGTTGTGCGGTGTCCCTGATAGGACCCATACCCACTTATGGGTTTTCAAGGTTGTCATCAAAAACCCATCCCCTATACTGTGACGCATCAATGTACCACACCCCGGGTTTATTGTCGCATTCCGCCAACATCGACATCTTAGTGGCGTCTGCTTGTTGCCCTCGCTCAGCTGGGGCCACTGGTTCCCCAAATGCCCCCTGCCCCTGCACCTGAAGCAAAATGGATTCGTTTTTGTGGAGACAAACACTGTTGTCTATTGTCCATCCCCTGCTCCTGACTTAACCTCCAGACAGGCAACCAGCGAATTGTCGCTCGGTGCTAAGAAATCCGGATTGGACAGAAGCCAATCGATAATCGGATTATTTGGATACTCCTCTTCCAACCTCCTCTGCGCCAGACTGTACATTCCGTCTGATAAGTTGTCAAATTGCACCCGAGAATGCTCTTTCAGCATTGTTTGCCTGTGCCTTGAGGTTTCCGCCTGCGGTGGTCTACGCGGTTTCATGGTTGGATCATCACCACCACCCCCTTGCATTTCAATGAACCCAAAGACAAGAGATGCCTTGCATAGGCCTGGTCAACGCACAACAACATCAAGATGAATTTGCCCCTTTTGTGAAATGAGACCTGCGGTTCCATTCCTGGTATGCTCTTCAATTTCCTGATTCTCTCCACTACCCACCTTGTTTTTTCATCTTGCGAGAGCTCCCGATTTTACCTGTGAAATTGAACAATACCGCGTGTTTCTCGTACAACTCATTCAGCGTTGGAATACCCTGTTCTGGATATTCCCACACGTCGACCTCCTGTTCCTTTCCGCCCGGCCCCTTGATTATTTCCTTCATAATCTTGATTTGGCCGGTTATTTGTGTCTTTTTCCATTAAGAAGTCCATCGCCCACTTCGATCCCGAAACACTGACGCCTGCTGATGAAGCTGCTTGCGAGGGAGCTGTTGATGACTCCCCCCCTGCCTGCATGCCTCTCTCTTTTTCGAAATCCTCCCGCTACTCGGTTGACATGGCCTTTTTTGCTGCTGATGTGCACAACTGTGCCATGGTTATAACCTCCTTCCCCTTAGCCCTAACTTTTGGTTTTCTCCTTGTTTTCTTTCTTACTCCCCTTGACTCCTCCCCCTAAACCCTAGTGCTAGTCTTTTTCTTCCCTCCCTAATCTCCGCTACTCGCCCTCTATGACTGGTTGTCCCCCTGCTCCATTCCCCTCCTACCCCTTTTTAGGATTTAAAAAAAAAAAAAAAAATCCACAACACACCCTCCCGTGCTGGTAGCACTGGTAAGAGCAGACACTACTGATACCAGGGGGGAGGCTCCATCTATTGGTGGGGAGCATCACCTGCTGGAAATCGGATCCAGCGTTACGTTGTTCCTTGTGCGCTTTGCTGGCTGCTTCCGTCCGGTTTTGCTGAAGCCACTTTACCCCCGTCTCCGCTTCGTCTTCCTTACCTGCCCGCTTTGACCTCATCCTCCCCTTTTCCTCCTCCGCCCACTATGGTCGCCACCCTCTTTGTCGCTTCCTTTTAAATTCTCCTTGCCTTTCGGATATCGTACCTCCCTCCTCTGCTTTGCCCTGATATCTAACACTACTGGCGATGTATGCCCTTTACTGCTCACTCCCTCTTTTGTTATGGCTCATGTCTTCCAACACCCTTCCACCCCCCATGTCGATGCCCCCCCCCTTTCCTCGTGTGATATTGTCTTTGTCATGTATCCCCAACCCGTCACTGCCCGCTGCGGTTCACCTCCCTGGTGCCGCCTCATGACGGCACCTGACCTACTCCCTCGCGTCGTTGGAGCGATGGCTCCAAAGGCGATACGCCCCCTTCTTCGTCAAACTCCTTGAAGGTTTCCGCGATGGCGACTTCCCAGTAGTTGCACGCTAACCGGTGGCGCGAGCGCTTCCAACTGTTTCTTTTTTTTGTTCTCTTCGTTTTTTAAGTTCTTTTTTCATTCCTCTAGTTCCATCTGGTTTCGAGCTCAGGTCTTTATTTCAGCAGTTCATGGGTGTACCAACTGAGCTAGGCCCATCGGTGGGATGTGCTAAACTGTGCTTACAAGCTGTCACGCTCTTGCATGAATGGTGTTGTCTCCCACATCAAATACTCAGTCTATAATACCTGGTGAATGATGAGCGACACACACTTGAGCAATGACGAACCGATTTAATGGAACTGCGCACTCCACAGGTTCACGAAAAGGTGGCCCAACAAGACAGTCGAAGCCCAAAGGCTTCGCTGAATGTTACCCAAGCATCCAGCAGATCTTTTTTTTTCCCTTTTTTTCTTTTGGGCATCAAACAGATCTATAAGGGCTCAAACCACCAGTACACAGCCTTGCTGAAGAAAAACTCATCGCCCGTCCGAAAAAGTCAGGGCCGGGCCACCGTTGATAAATTCCATCGGCGGCCTTCGTCGCATTTCTGGCCTCCGAAAGGGGCCTGCGGCCAATGTATGGCGTGTACTGGTGGTTTAAACCACCACTCCATCCCATGGTTACCCCGGACCCGTACCCGGACAGAGCATGAGGTCCAGCCGGACTGACGTTCGGAAAATCCGGAAAATCTGGAGAAAACAAAGAAGAAGAAGAAGAAGAGGAAGAAGAAGAGGAAGAAGAAGCGAGAGAAGAAAAGAAAAGGTTACAGAAGGTTTACAGACAGGGAGTGAATTGGGCCCTAACTACCTCAAGGCAGTATACAGCCTGTGCACCTCTCTCTCTCTCTCTCTCTCTCTCTCTCTCTCTCTCTCTCTCTCTCTCTCTCNCTCTCTCTCTCTCTCTCTCTCTCTCTCTCTCTCTCTCTCTCTCTCTCTCTCTCTCTCTCTGAGGATAGGAAATACGGTGAGATGTTATATGTGCGCAGCAACAGCGAGTTCCGCAACGACATCGACTACTGAGGACAAGTACTGCGACGGAGGTGCGATGATGAGGAGAAATTCTGCAAGGGATAGAGATTGAAGGATAGGAAGTATTTGGACCAGGAGGGTATAAGTATGTTGATAATCATCATCATCATCATCATCATCATCATCATCATCATCATCATCACCATCATCACCATCACATTGATCCGACGTGACAAAGGACCTCTTCGGTGGGGACGCAGATGCATCCGTCGTTAGACCAATTGTTGCAGATGCCTCTTCGGTGCCTCTTCGGTGGGGACGTTCTCCGTCTCCACCGCAGCCTCCAAGACAGGGGCGTCGATTATCCTTGAACAGCATGATCTCTGCACCTCCTGCAGGGATTAGAGATCTGCTCCGCCGGCAGGCTCGCAACCATTCGGAACGACATCATCGCCTTATACACGCTAGCCAGGAATAGTACATGTCGAGTCCGATGCCCACAGTGTGGTGATGATTTCTTCAGTGTTGCAGGCCTGTGTTTGCACCAGACACAAGGTGCTGCTACGTGTGCAACATTTGCAGGACTAGCAGCCGCTCTGAGCACAGGTGCGGCTGATCAGCTTCCCCTTCCGGCATCTGGTCCACCCTTTTTTCACCCGCCTGAACCGCCCCTCTCTCATCACCTAGCCCCACTTGCTCTCCTGCCCCAAATGGCAATGACCCATCTTCTGATTACCTAATGGAGCTCCCGGCATAAGATCTGTCTTTGGAGTGCATGCTAGAGCCAACGGACTCAATACAGCCGGAGGCACCAGACAAAAATAGTCAAGACCACAATGAGTCTCCACCCCCTGTGCAAGCTGCAGAATTGAACGAATCTTCCCCTACCGTGAAAACTGCGGAATCGGATGATGTCATAGCACTACAGCGAGGCTGTTGTGCGTTCTATGCCATTAATGTATGTCTCCTTGCTTACAATTGTAACCCTTATACGGTTTCTGATTTCGCACATGTTGTCCGCTGGATAGAAGAAGAGCACCGTGCTGTCTGCCCAGAGGACGACAGTACTGCACCTGGTGTGAACATAGAAGTCCTGTCTATGGCATTTATGGGTAGGCGACTACAATTCCAACCTGCTCCACAAAACAATGTGGCAGGCATGGATCCAAATATTCGGGCATATATCTTACATCGTCCAGGTCATTTCAGTGCTCTTACATTTGCTGATAATTCATGGATCCTATGGGAGAACGGTGCTAGGGTGCACACAGCAGGAAATATGAACTCTTTGTATCTCCAAGTGGTGGAGAATCGCTTGGTCTGGCTCATCCATCAGGAACAATATGTCAAAGAGCACTTGCAAGCACTGCACCCCGCAGAGAGCAATCCGACCGATTTTCTCTTGTGCTCATCCCCCCTCCCCTCTCATTACTTGCTCAGCATGCCGTTGTGGCCTTGATCTGCAATGCCTAAGTAACTGTGCACGACAGCCTTCTATACTCATGACATGCCAGCAAAATGTCATTTGTCGTCAATGTTTCCAGGAAGCTGTCATAGAAAAAGTATGTGTCTTTACTGCATTGACTACCCCCAGTGCCATCATCCTCC